AATTAAAATGATCATGATATCATTTTTTTTTCATTTTTTTTTTTTTACAAAAGGCTTCATAGTTCAACAAATAATATTTTATTTTTTTAATCTAAAATAGTTCATAGTTGAGGAGTATCTCCAATATGGATTTATTGAAGTGGAAGGGAAACCAAAATGTCTGATATGCCTGCGGTGTCTTGCCAATGAGGCGATGAAGCCTGCCAAATTGAAGAGGCACCTCAAGACCAAGCATCCAGATTATGTAAAAAAAAGACCGGGCTTTTTTTGAGAGGAAAGGCGAGGACTACCGCAAGTAACAACAACAACGGATGGTTAATGTTACGAATTTAGGACATGTCTGCTGATATCAAATCACAACTGCTGGAAAGACTGAGAGGGTCTAAATGTGCGGTTCAATTGGATGAGTCCACTGATGTGTCCGGCTCTGCGCGGCTCATTGCACTGGCGCGAGAGGAGAGGGAGAGCCGCAGAAGTGAGACTGACTTTGATTACTTTGAGCAACATGCATGGAAATAATTTACAATATAATACATTTGTGTATATTTCTCGCTATTCAGATGGTCTGCTGCCTGGTGCTGCTGTTGCGCAATGTGCAGTAGTGTCCTCTTTTCGCACCATGACATTATCAGTTATGAATTTGTTTTTCACTGCTTGAGAAAATGGACTTGTGCTGAGAGCGTGTGAAAAATGTCAATTGTGTGAGAGTTGGCAGCCCTGTGAACTCGCTTGACATTATTATGTATGAAACTGCCAATCAGATTTATTTACTTATTAATCGAAGGTGCCGGAACGCTGTTCTGGATCGTTCCGGCCCACTTTAACCCCTGTGTGTGTGTGTGTGTGTGTGTGTGTGTGTGTGTGTGTGTGTGTGTGTGTGTGTGTGTGTGTGCGGCGTGCGTGCGTGGTGCGTGTGTGCGTGTGTGTGTGTGTATGTGTGTTGAGCAAACAGAAATGTCAGATACTGTATGTTGCATTTATAGATTTTAGTTTGATATGTGTGTCTTAACTTGCAAGAGAGAAGCAATCAGCTTCAATGGACTGCCTTGCATCACTTCAATAGTGTCCAAGAAGCTGGCCTGCCCATTACAAGTAGTGGTTTGGGATTGTAGCAATGCCAGTCTGCAGTTGTTTTGCAATTTACTTGATATATGTTGCAATGCAGGCATTGTTCAATTGCTTATAGCCCTGCATTTCATTGTTTATTAGATTTTATACAATCATTTAATTTTAACTAAGAGTGCAACACTTGATGTGGTTATCTTTGTGGTTGTGTGTGTGTGTGTGTGTGTGTGTGTGTGTGTGTGGTGTGTGTGTGTGTGTGTGTGTGTGTGTGGTGTGTGTGTGTGTGTGTGTTTTGTGTGTGTGTGTGTGTGTTTCCTGAAAATGCACTTCCAAATGATCACTTTTCTCTTGATTTCTCATGAACACCAAACTTCAGGCAGTACACATGTAATCTCATTTCTTTGTGTTAAACATTTTAACTTGACAAAGAAACACTGGATACTGATTTTATGCGTTAAAACTGAGCCTGGCAATACTTGATCAGATTTAAAAAGTAGCAGTTGATGGAGATTTACAGAGAGAACTATCCCAATGGACCAGTGGGCGGCTGGTGGAAAATATTTTTGGTGGGCTATGGAAATGGTGAGCCAAAACCCTACTAGGCATTTTCAAAATCAGGAGACTAAAAATACGACATTGTGTGTGTGTGTGTGGTGTGGTGTGTGTGTGTGGTTGTGTGTGTTGTGTGTGGTGTGGTGTGTGTGTGTGGTGTGTATGT